AGTAGCTGGCAACCCTTAATCAATGTTAATTAGCTTTAATTAGCATATGTTAATTAATGATATTTACTACAAATTAAAGGTATGAGTGCTCCCAGAGGGTTTCCTGTTCATCTAATTAGTGCCAATTAGCTGCAATTAACACGTGTAAATGAGATGCCATTGAACCCAAAACAAACAGCTTACAGTCCGTTGAAAGGAGGGTATTAAAGTACAATATTATAACATCAGCAGGATATGTACACAGTTTGAATGAATTCTCAGCTCCCTTTATGCAGCGCTTTTCCCTAGAAAGGCGCAGTAGAGCAAGCCAATCTGCATACAATGCCGGCATAGCAACAACGTAAACATAGGGTTATTGTTTTAAACAAGAAATGGTTGAATTGTTTAAAAGATTGAAGAAAGTCGATAGGCTATCTCTCAGTCTCAGCACTATTCAATAGCATTCACAGCATGGGAATATAACACAGATATATGAGCTTAGATCATCAGGTGCTACCTATGGCCAGATAACTGACCTTCACATTATGTTTTCTTTGACTCTTTAATAAAGGAAAGCAACAACTGCTTATGGTGCTAAGGCTTTAAAACAGGAAATGTTCCTGATAATATATTTATTGATCGCCACGGCAATGTTTACTATACAGAGGAAGAACCGTATCTAGCAGGTAGTCAGGATACATATGAATCTATGTTGCTATACATGTAATCTTCTCAAAAGGTAAACGATTACGTATATTTCTGTCTGTTTTAATCAATAAAGACTCCTTGGTTCAAGTGCTAATTGAGGAGTATCTTAATACTGATTTAACCCCTTAAGGACCAAACATCTGGAATAAAAGGGAATCATGACATGTCACACATGTCATGTGTCCTTAAGGGGTTAAATGAGAGCAAATGAATTTTGATATAAATCTTTACTTATGATGCATTTCCTAAGCATATTTTATTAAATAACAATAAATCATAACTGTTTACAAGGAGGCGATCATGTTTTTTGCCGCACTTAGCTGTATCACATAATTTGTACCTTATGAAGTCATGTACATGCTTTATTTCTGTTTATCAATCATATAACTTATATAGTGTATATGAGACTTGGGCACAATGGTAAAATTTGTTTCAGCCAGACCACTTAATCTGAAAATAAAAAGATTTCGAAATGGCAACATTTCAGCCATATGGTGGGTTAGCAGGTCCAAATTTCATTGACAAAAAAAAAGTGTATGAAAATAGGCCAATCAGTGTACTGCAAAATATATACAAAATATAAATATTATGCATGTACCTTGCAGTACACTGAAAGGGGCGTTTCCCTGTCATTTGGATCACAGATCAAGTAAGAACAGGTAATCAATAGATGAAAGAGGATGAGCTGTAAATATATATATATATATATATTCACTAATATTCACTATATATATCAAATATAAATATATAAATATAGATTTTACTGCTCCTCCACTTTTTCCATCTATTGGACACTTCACACTAGATCTGTGAATAAAACATTAATCATTTATTTTTTTTCCATTTTTTTATTTACTCCCATCAACTATCTCATTTTTTAGTGTAGGTTGAATTCTGACTCACGAATCAAAATGAACACGCTCAGCCTTTACACAAATCATTTGGTTCATGATTCGTGCCATCACCCATTTGGCCCAAATTCAGATAAATTGCAGTTCATAACACAATGAAATTCAAAATCAATATGTAAAAAAATTTTACAAAAATTTACATCTAGTGGCTTTTTTCCTAACCATCATTAATCCTTTTTATCATTCAAAGCTCCAAATCATAAATCAAACAAAACTGGCATGGCACTTTAGACTTGTGGAATTTGGACGATCCCCCGATCAACAAATATTCGTATGAATTGCAATTGTAATTAAATGTAGAAGTGTGTATAATACAGGTGTACAATAATACATCAAAGGAGCTTAGTTACTGATATATTTCCAAATCAGTTAAGATATATGTAACTAGGTTTTTTTGGTGTAGGTTACATAGTTGCATAGGCTGAAAACAGACGTGTCCATCAAGTCCGTTGAAATTCAACCATTTCATGTGTCCATCAAGTTCAGCCTGTTTTTTGTCTGTTGATCCAAACAAAGGCTAACAAAAACAGTTTGAAGCACTTCCAATTTTGCAGCAAACTAGGAAAACAATTTCTTCTTGACCCAAAAATGGCAGTCAGATTTATCCTTGTATCTTGCATCATACAGTTGAAAAATTATATCCTTGAATATTCTGTTTTTGCAAGTATGCATCTAGTTGCTGTTTAAATATCTGTATGGACTCTTCTTCAGGTAGAGAATTCCACATCCTTATTGTTCTTACGGTAAAAAAAACATTTCCTTTGCCTTAGACTAAATCTTCTTTCTTCCAGTCTAACCACATGACCTCGTGTCCTACATATAGTCCTGTTTGTGAATAGATTTCCACACAATAGTTTGTGGAATAGGCAATGGTTTTCTAAACTAAAGAGGTTTAAATTTGTTAACCTTTCTTCATAGCTATAATGTTTCATTCCTTTTATTAATTTTGTAGCCCGCCTCTGCACTCTTTCCAGTGCTATAATATCCTTCTTTAGAACAGGTGCCCAAATTGCACAGCCTATTCAAGATGTGGTCTTACCAGTGATTTATAAAGAGGCAAAATTATATTCTCATCCCAAGAATGAATGCCCTCTTTTGTGCCTGAAAATACCTTACTGGCCTTAGCCACTGCTGATTGCTGACATTGCACATTGTTGCTTAGTTTGTTGTCTATAACAATTCCCAAATCCTTCTCGTGTCTTGTTATCCCTAATTGACTACCATTTAAGATATAAGTTGCTTGTGCATTCTTTCCACCAAAGTGCATAACTTTGCATTTTTCCCCATTAAATTTAATCAGCCATTTGGGTGCCCATTCCCCCTGTCTATTTAAATCCCTCTAACAAAGTAATATCTTGCTCACATTGTATTACTTTACAGAGTTTTGTGTCATCTGCAAACACCGAAACATGACTTTCAATGCTTTTTTCAATATCATTTACAAACATGATAAATAGAATGGGTCCCAGAACAGAACCCTGAGGGACACCACTTACCACCTCTTTCCAGCTTTAAAATTTACCATTAATGACAACTTCATCTAAATTAATTTCTTTGAGTTTGAACTCTAATCTACTGTGTGGGACTGTATCAAACACCTTGGCAAAATCCAAATAGATCACATCCACTGCAACACCCTGATCTATACTTCTACTTGCTTCTTTATAAAATGCAATTAAGTTAGTTTGGCATGACCTATGCTTCGTAACACCATGCTGATTGTTGCTGATAACCACATTCTTCTCAAAGAATTCTTGAATATTAGCCCTTATTAACTAGATACAAAAAGAGAGAAAAGGATACAAGGGAACCCACCGGGAATAATGTCCCAGTCCCGTGGGTCACCGATGTATCAGGAGCAACCCAAAATAAATGAAGTAATAAAATCTACCTTTTAATAAATATAGTTAGAAAATAATAATATGCAAAATATGTAGGAGAAAAACACCGGATATACCGGCCAAAAGGCTGTGTGTATTTGCCTATACACACAGACTTTTGGCCGGTATATCCGTTTTTTTTTCTCCTACATATTTTGCATATTATTATTTTTTAACTATATTTATTAAAAGTTAGATTTTATTACTTCATTTATTTTGGGTTGCTCCTGATACATCGTTGACCGACGGGACTGGGACATTATTCCCGGTGGGTTCCCTTGTATCCTTATCTCTCTTTTTGTATCTAATTTGTTTTAGGGGTTACCCCCCATTTCTATTAGCAACCCGACACTCTCTCCCTATCTCTCCTCCTTTTTCTACTACTTTCTTATTAGGTTTCAATACCATCATTAAGGATAGGGAGTCGAAACAAGATTAATTTTATTACATCTGACTCAATATTTGGGATTAGTATTAAATAATAACCAAATCCCAAAAGAATTGATTATAATATTGCGGACTTTTTGGAACAGGTGGTACATCAAGATTTTAGATCAGAGGATGTAGCAAGTGTTTTTTCTAACAAACCTTTAGGAAACCTAAACTCAAACCCCAACGACATTGACCAGGCTTTCTTTTCAATACAGAAGTTATATCAAACACAACTAAGGGGCTTTTGGGAACTAGCCAGTTTGAGACATTACATAGAACAGAAATTGGTACCTAGAGGTCTTCGTCCTGACATTCTGTTACCAGACAAAGTGAAAACAGAAGAACAGGTGGCAGAATGGAATTAAATTTTGTTAGCGTGTTCAGCAAAGATCTTGCAATTTCTTATCAAACTAGAACAGGAAAGTTTGGACAAGGTGAATGGGGATCTAGATATAGAAATCAAAAAAATAAAACATTTTGATAAAGAGCCCAATTTTGTAGCCATGGAAACTAAGCTAAACAAAAATCTAGAAAATTACAAAAAGAATATTAGACAAAAGAAGCATTCCACATTTCAAAGAGACTATAGAGACTTTCAGGAAGGCAATATTTTTAAAAATAAAAACAAAAGGAGGTTTACCAACATCAGGGCTAATAGAAAAGGTTTCTCGTCATCAGAGGAAACCGAATGGTCTGAGTCAGAAACTAGACCTCGTCAATCTAGAAAGCTCCCTATGCGAACCAATCAACCTTTACCCCAAACTAGAGGGATTTTAAGAAATTCCAATAAAAATATTTCCTTTGCTGACCCCCCATCTGACTCTGTGCCTTTTACGAGTTCTAGATATGAATCCAATCCAGGGCCATCCCAAACATCATCGGCTTTTTTAGAACAGGAGTGGCCACAACCGCAAAGAGAGAGACTCAGGGACAGGAAAAAATGGGGCTACAAGATACACAAACCAAGTTACCATTAGTTGCAAAATCATTTGACAATAAAATAATAAATTTGTCCAATTTCAACTTGAAATCTAGACACACATCGCTCTTACAAAAAGGTCTCCCCTTTGTACCAACACCCTCTAGAAATATGTTTGATTGGGCCAAAGATGTAAATATTTTTGGCCGCAAATTGGCCTTGCATGCTTTGCATGAAAAAATTAACTTCAAGAAGCTCAAAGATTTAGGTCTTTCTCCTGAAGACCTCGAAATGTACAAACTTCTTACAGATTTACACTCAGAACAAGAAGGCTTTGAATCTTTGACTAGTCTTAAACCACCGAGTTGGTTTACCCCGAATTTAAAAGAATCCCCCTGCATTGACCTGTTTGTTCAGATTTGTACAAATGAATTAGAAGGCCAAATTCCCCAACAGACTTTTAAATCCAACCTCAAAACAGACGATCAACAAGCTCTGCATGAGCCACGTCTGGCCCCTGAGGTCGTAATTAAGTCATCAGACAAAGGAGGGAATATTGTCCTGATGCAGAGGGACCAATACGTTGACATGTGCATGCAACATTTGACAGATGCGACAGCATATCAGGTATTAAAAGAAGACCCTACGAAAAAGTTCCTTATGGAACTACAATCCTTGGCACAGGGAGCTTTATCAAATGATATTATTACTCAAGACGAATATAGATTTATTGTCTCCCAATCAAATATCACTATTGCCACTTTTTACTGTCTCCCCAAAGTACATAAGGATCTCCATAATCCTCCGGGGAGACCAATTGTGTCGGGCAATTATTGTCTGACTGAGAGAGCTAGTCAATTCCTATATAAATTGTTACAACCTTTGGAACTGGGTCTCAAGTCACATATACGGGATACTAAACAGACCCTTTTGGCTTTGGAAAATCTTACAGTGCCCCCATATACCTCTCTGGCCAGTCTGGATTTGGTGGCACTGTATAACAATATTCCACATGACACAGGGCTAGCTGCTGTTGCCTATTTTCTTGTAAAAGCTAAGACTTTTAACCCACAGGAACAAGATTTAATTCTACTTCTACTAAAATTTGTACTCACACATAATTATTTTACATTTAACGGCAAATACTACTTACAACTTCGGGGCACCGCTATGGGGTCATCTTGTGCACCCAGCTATGCCAATTTGTTCCTTGGTTGGTGGGAAGAAACCATAGTCTTTACTAATTTTAATGCCATATACACTTCATCAATATTTAAATGGTATCGCTATATTGATGACGTGTTAATCTTTTGGTTGGGTCCATTTACACTGTTCAAACAAATGGTGGACCTTCTAAATGAGAACCAAATCAACCTTCAGCTCACTCATGTTATACATGAAAACCATTTAGTGTTCCTTGACCTAACCATCAGTATTTTGGAGGATGGGCAAATCTCTACAACACTTTTTAGGAAACCCACGGCAACAAACAGCTTGCTCCATTGGCAAAGTTTTCACCCATATCACGTGAAAGCCAACATACCATATGGTCAATATTTAAGAGCCAAAAGGAACTGTTCCAATTCCGAAGGTTACGAGAAGGAAGTGAAAGATTTAAGACAGCGTTTTAAAAGCCTCGGCTATCCAAACAGAATTCTAAAAAAAGCTTACCAAAGAACCCAAAATGTAGATAGATCAGAGAGCTTGCATAGACCATCTAAGGATTCCCGCATCCTTTCGGGATCTACACGACTTATAGGGACATAAGACAAACACTGGAACCAGACCCTACAGGTCTAGAATCGGAATTGGCCGCTATTGCAATATGATACATGCCTTCAAAAGACCGTTACCAAGAAACCATCTTTGACATACCATAGAGCAAAAAATCTAGCGGATCTGTTAACTCAAAGTCATCTTAAAACCCATACAAACCACATCTACTTGGCTTCAGACTAAGGGCCTTTAGAAATGTGGGCATTGTAAGGCATGCAATTATCTTTTACCCTCCAAAACTGTATGGAACAAAACTACATTCAAAAATATCATGGTCAATTCCTTTATTAATTGTGGATCAACCAATGTGATTTACCTTATGTTGTGGTGTGACGGAACAACATTAATATTTTTATAATTCATGGTATTATGGTCGAATATGTGGATAGAAAATACACAAAACGTTGTAATATTAAATGTATATTTAATATAACTATAACAAATAAACAGATGCTAGCAGAATGTCAATTTACTACAATTATGATACAATACAAAACTACAACATATTACTTACAAAAGGTTGCTACATGTTACACAACATTTTACTTACAAGGCCCCAGCCCTTTGGCTGGGGTTAAGTCAGAGCTGCTACTACATCTTTCAGGTACAGGCAAAGAGACAAAGAGACAGAGTTTTCTCCTCCATCTGGTTTTATTCAGTGTAAGTAGGCTGGCCTGTGATGTCACTGCCAGAAGCACATGTCTTCCTACACACTCCCCCTAGTGGTGCCCCCAAAGCATTACACTAAATATGCTTTCTTTATGATGTAAAGTCATTAATTAATAAATACCATTACAAACCACCCTTTGACTTATGTCATAAAACAAGCATTTATAAAACCAGTAAATTGTGAATCTTCCCCATTTTAACACTACCTGCCCTACAACAAAACCCACCTTTTGAAAAACGATACCCATTTACCCATTAATTATTACCCATTAACATTTTATTGCTTATATAAATGTTCACCATTGAGCACATGCATTACCAGTTGGGAAATAGGCACATACCCACCCTTATAATAATGAACAACTCAAACCATGTTTTATTAGATTAACCAATGATATTGTGTTCATGTGAGGATGTGTTTTGGAGCTTAATATAGTATTAGACACCACAAACTCATAACACCTATGAATCATGGCACAGACCGACACGATTTCTGTAGCCTCTGGCTGGTCTGTGTGCCTGGAATTTTCACAAACATTAGTCCTGGAAACTGGATACTCTATTCTTCGACAGTCTCATAGAACATACGCATGGAGACAGGGATGAATGAAACAGTTCATGTGATCAAGGACTTTTGTGTGTTTGTGGTCACATTGTTTTGTTTTTTCTTTCTTTATACCATTAACCACCTTGACGTAACAGTGTCCTGCTCCTGATGCATTTGTTCCGACTCTCACCCCTCTTAGCTGCAATATTTTTTCTCCTTACAGCGACAGTTGAGCATAGTGTCCAGTGCTGCTTCTTCTTCTGCTTGAAAGTTCTTGAATGAAAACACAGGCAATGACGAACACAAACATAAATAATAACTGTGCCAATCATCACAAGTACCATTTGATTGTGGTGTCTTAACCATATTTTTTTCCTATGGCGTTTGGATAAATACCTACACACCTCTCTTCACATCCAGCACACTCCTGATTCACAGATAAACACAATATCACTGCTGTATCTACCAATTTAACCCAAACACTCGTTATTACTGCTGCATTTACCAATTTAATCTAAACACTCGTTATCACTGCTGTATTTAACCAATTTAATCTAAACATTAACCAAAACAATTACATTCCTATTTACCACCCTTCTATTTAAACATGTATAGATAACCCAAAATGCCTACTTTCTCTTATCCCTCTTATTTTTTTTTGTTTTGTTTTTTTTTTTAACTGCAACCACTCATGCACTTTACACAGACACAAATCAAACACCTACTGGACAATGGGGTTCCCTCGTTAGAGCCCTCCCACCCCAGTTTGGTTTACACAAAAATACCCCCTGGTCCCTATGGGTCAATTCCCCCCTTTCCCAGGCAAGCATACATACAACAATAATAATACATAAGGGTTTCAATTGCAATACAATCACTAGAAATAAGAGAATAGTATGCACAAAATCATAGCATAGACATGTTAAATAGACAATAAAATAAAACATTCAATAGCTCATCAAAGGTCTACATTTAAACACTGGTCTCCATCTGATATTCTATCTGTGTTCCAATGTCCACCCCTGGTTTCTGCTATATCTGAAAAAGGTAAGAAAACAGATCAGGATTACTTTTCCTTGTCACTTATAGCGTATACTGCCAAATCCTTTACTTAGCATATATACATATATACACATATAAATACATTCCCTAAACTTTTCATTTTATAAACAATTTGTTCAACAAGGTAACTTTCTTAATTTTCTACTTGGCTCTTAAAATAAACAATCAGCTAATAGCTGCTTTCTGCATCTTCTCTGCAATTCAGGAAACACATTTCTAGCCAACCTAAACATGTTTAATAACTCTCCACCCTTTGGTTAAATTATAGAGGAGTGAACCACAACACCTCTTCCGCCTCTGAAAGGATATAGGTCAATATGTCTCAAAGTTCAACACTTCTGACAGCTATGAGTGACTCCCTATTAATTTCTAGCCTTTCCACGGACATGCTTGCACCTCGCGGCTAAGGGCCTGCACAACTAACCACCCTGTGATGGCAGTGGCTTTCCGCATGGGGGTGACCGCCCCCGCAAAATTATAGAGGAGCAAACATACAGCAGCCTCTTTTCCGGCTCGATTAAAGGTTCTGGGCCAATATGTCTGCAATTTAACCAGTACACTCACGTATCACTTATTGTATATTTCCTGGTCTCTCAGGAATTTCTATTAAATAGCGTATCCCCTTCCCAGGGCAATATACAACAAAAACTAGTCACCAAGGGTCTCTATGGTCATGATAGGCCACCCTACCACTAGTGTAATACGCCCTTTTTTAAAATATATTTCCTGGTCTCTCAGAGATTTTGCCTATCCCTTTCCCAGAGCAATATATATATAAACAATTACAAATAAGTTACAAAACGCTACTTATAAGTAATACAGGGTTTCAAATAATAATACAGGATAGAACTGCACAACAACTATTGGGTATGCTCCCCCTTATCCGGACACGTTTAAATACCCCCTAGCTCAGGTTCCCCACCCGCTACTGTAACTAAAATCACAGCCCACGTTATGGAGGTTCACCCGCTAGGCAGATACACCCTAATTCAAAGCATGGAAATATTAAAATCAGTTATAGATGGCTTCTAAAATAATATAAATCTTAATCTGAGCCCCTACACTTACTTTGTTAAAAATGCTAACTTGTTAAAATATTCAGACTAAATAGGACAAAGGAATTATTTTACCATTTTTTCAGTTCATTTGTTACCAGTTCCTGCATATGTCCAGTAATTCCTTAGTCCTGGATAATAAAGCTGAAAAACACTCCACAAATTGATTAGTTTAGGCAATTACATTTACAAAACAATGCAGTTTATTTTTTCTCATACAGCAAGACTACCCACCCCCAACAAGGACAAATTCTCCCCCAGCTGTAGCTGAAAAGCATGGTCACACAGCTGTTAAAAAGGTGGTCTCTCCTTCATGAGTCAAAATCATATATATATTTATACTAATATTCTGTGTATACGCACACATAAATCTATTATTCACTGAATCTGCTTTACTAAACGTATCTTTTTCTTAACTAATAATTTACTAGACAAATCCATGAATGCCAAACAAATGTAAATTAGTACACAAACAGGGTCAAATTTAGCAATAAAACCTGGTGAACTAGTTTAGTGAA